TGTATATACGGTAATGTAATGTGTAATATATTCCCTAATTTTAGATTTTACTATTGCCAATAACGATAATTGTTGTGTGTTTCGAACATGTTTCTTTACTTTTTGCTAGTTAAAAAATGCGGTTATATATTAAGGGATTTATTAATGAGTTGTAATATGCCACAGGAGGAATTTATGTTAGCTGTGGGATTTGTATATCATTGTTGCTGCTTTGTGTGTGTGTGTGTGTGTGTGTGTGTGTGTGTGTGTGTGTGTGTGTAGTGTGTGTGTGTGTGTGTGTATTCACCGCGTTGTGCTTGTGGGTGTTGAGCTCTGACTCTTTAGTTCCGCCTCTCAACTGTCAATCAACTGGTGTACAGGTTCATAGAGCCTACTGGGCTCTATGTGTGTGTGTGTGTGTGTGTGTGTCGTCGTATATGTACGTACATATATAAATATGTGAGCGCATGTATTGAATGCACGTGTATTTTCTGTGTTAAATTGCATATATATTTAGAAAGTCACTCATAAATGCTTAAACGTATATAATCTTATAAACTGACATACATATATAGACATATTTCTCCACACACACACACATGTGTATCACAACTCGTGTGCTACACATGTGCGCACGGCAGGTGTATACATATACATTACACACACACACACACAAGCTGCGTCTATCTAAATGTATGGAATTCATCATCATTTACTCCGTCTGAAATGGGTTATGCGCCAAGCAACTTCGGGTTGGCCGAAGGAACGATAACCCTCAGGCCTTTGGCTGGGTAAATATTGCCATCTATGTCCTCGCGACATAGAAGTCAAAGCTTCCTGGTAGTCTACCACCACGGGCTGGTCCCTTACCCCATGAGGTGCCGCTGTGTTATATTGCCTCCCCCTGACCGTCTCATATTCGAAAAATTCTTATTTTTCAGAAGAACGATTCCATAATTTACTCTTTTTTTGGGGGGGGCCACGCGCCCCATTTCTCACGTGGTTAGTTTATCGAGGTTCCTGTAGTACTTTTTTTTTTGCTTTTTGAGGGGGGGGGGTTAGTTTGACTGGTAACAATGGTTGAGGGTCATTTGTAAGGGTGGTAAGGCTGGTCTCATGGGATATGTTTGGCTTTTTTGGTAGGGTTCTTGGAAAGGATTTCCTGTGGTTCTGGCATTACTGTTGCTGTGGGAGATTTTCATCTAAATCTGGCATCTTTGCTACTGCGAAGGGTAACGCGTGGAGCTGGTAACAATCGCACGGGCTTGATGTGTTACATCTGAACTGGTAACATTGGCAAAGCCTGGCGTGATGTTACGTCTGAACTGGAAACACTAGGGCAGTTTGAAGGGGTAACGCCTAGTCTGACTCCACTGGCACGGTCTAAGGGGTGTAACACCTTGTCTAGTAACACAAGGTGTAACTCAAGCATGATCTTAGGTGTAGCCTCGAGCTGGTAACATTCGTGTGGTCTGGGGGGTGTAGCCCCCCGAGCTGGCAACACTCATACGGTCTGGGGGTGTAAATGTAGATCTGGTAATTGTCGCTGCTGCTGCTGCTGTTACAGGATTATTTAATTAAGTCTTGAAAGATGGGAAGTTGAGTAGAAGTCTGACACTACAAGAGTCTTAGTTCTCTCTCTCTTCCTTGCTGTCTCTCTTCCTTATTGTTCTCTCATATTCTCATTCTCTTCATATTATTTGCCTCTCTCTCTCTTTTGCTTTCTCCTTTTCATATGCTTATTTTGCTATTTATGGTAGGACAATTAGTATACAGAAATGTAGGCTTGCTGTCTGTATGTCTGTATGTCAGTCTGTATGTCTGTCTGTATGTCTGTATGTCTATGCTGTATGTCTGGGAGTTGAGTCGATATATCCTGGAAGTATCCCATAGTACCAATGTTTCCAGATATATCCTGGTAGTATGTCCGTAGTACCAATGTTTCCAGATACAGTATATCCTGGAAGCATGCCGATAGTACCAATGTTTCCGGATATATCCTGGAAAATATATTACCTCTCATATTGACTTCATGAAGACTTTCCAAAAGAACCTGCACTTAGCCTGACACGTGGCAAAAAGAGGATAGTCGTGGGATAGTTTGTCGTCAGGGTGTTGTATGACTCGGTGGGAATGACGGACGAAAGGAACTGACAGACACATTACCAGGAAAAGAAAAAGAGAGACAAAGCTAAAGAGAGAGAGAGAGAGAGAGAGAGAGAGAGAGAGAGAGAGGGTAGGAGGTGGCAGGCAGGCTTTAGAAATGGACGCATTAGCTTCCAAGCGTTCTGAAATTCCAGTGCGACTGCCTACAATACGTCAAGATCCAGGGCCGGTGCTCGGAGCGGGTCGCTCCAGAATGCCTAAAGACTTTGTCTTCCCAAGTGCTTCAATATGACCGCCACCTGGAACAGCCAGTATTTTTCCTCTTGGCCTTCCCTCTTGGCTCTAATATTCTCTTACTATTCCTTACATTTTATTTATTGTTTTGCTCTGTCCTCCCCCACTTTCAACACTTGATTACAAGAGTGACAGAGAATTTAGCCATTATCATTTATTGGAATAAATAAGACACAGGATTTCATTACAAAACAATCTAGTGGGCCTATTGGCCCATGGGAAGCTCTTTTTGTCCAGCCAAACTCACTTGCCTATTTAAGCAACATCAAAGTCTCTTACATAATTGTATTGTGTCCAGAGGAGTAGTTCCTGGAACCCTTAACGACGTACTGGAATGGCCTGGACTTCATCCAGTCGCAGACGATGAGTCACAATAACGTGGCTAAAATATGTTGACCAGACCACACACTAGAAGGTGAAGAGACGACGACGTTTCAGTCCGTCCTGGACCATTCTAAAGTCGTCCTGACTATTCTCAAGTCGATTGTCGACTTGAGAATGGTCCAGGACGGACCGAAACGTCGTCGTCCCTTCAACTTCTAGTGTGTGGTCTGGTCTTCATCCAATCATTTGCTCAAGATGGCCGCCGCCGCCGCAGCAACTTACCTGGAATACCGCAGTAGATATTTACTGCTTCGTGTTGGTTGTTTTGCGGGTGTTAAAGGTGTTTTAATGGCTGGTATAAACTTGCAGGCGGAGGCCAGTTTATGAAGTAATTGTTATTAATCCGGTTTATGGCGGCTTCTGGAGCTGGTCTTCCGGCTCCAGACCAACTTCCAGCAGTGCCTGGACGCCATGTTTTCTTCCAGGCCTCCTTGCACTTATAGAATGCTGTTAAACGTATTTATATATACTTTATGTAGGGAAAAATATATATACATATAAATACAAACAAATATTTGGGTATTTTGTTAATGCACGTATTTTGCTAGTGACCTCTTCAGGTAGTGTATTTGTGTATGTATACATATATATGTTTTATGTCATATATTTATATACATACTTAGATAGTGTTCTTTTATTTGGTTTATGAATAAAATTAGGGTATTACCTACTAAGAATATGTAGTGACGGGCTTATTTAACTATTGTGTGAATGTTTTAGCTTGTCCTCTGTTGCACATGCTGATGATGAACGTTGGTGGAGGTGTTGCATATGCTGATGATGATCGTTAGTAGGAGTGTTGCACCATCACTGATAAACCCATGCGAACTAAGAACCTAACTGATGTGTTCTGTGATGAGGCTTGAAAAGCCTTTTTTTGCATTCAGGAGCAACTCTTGGTGGCTCGAGTCCTACATCATGGGTGTTGTGGCCGACACCTTATCTATGTTCAAGTTTTCTGAATCATCTTCATTTTATCATGTTCCTTATCATGCCTTATTTGTCTGCTTCCATGTTGTATTTAACTTCTGTTCCTCTCTCTGTCTTGAACATTCACAACTGTTCCTTCTCTCTCTCTCTCTCTCTCTCTCTCTCTCTCGCATGTATATATCGACGACAATATTCCAGTCACTGGTGGTGATCGGAAACCCAAGTACCACAACTATTTCCTTTTAGTGACGACCGCCATTTTCCTGTGCCAGTGCCTCCCCCTCCCCCCTCTCACCTCATACAGTGCCTCCACATCCACTCTCTCACCTCATACAGTGCCTCCACCTCCCCCCCTCTCACCTCATACAGTGCCTCCACCTCCACTCTCTCACCTCATACAGTGCCTCCACCTCCCCCCCTCTCACCTCATACAGTGCCTCCACCTCCACTCTCTCACCTCATACAGTGCCTCCACCTCCACTCTCTCACCTCATACAGTGCCTCCACCTCCCCCCCCTCTCACCTCATACAGTGCCTCCACCTCCCCCCTCTCACCTCATACAGTGCCTCCACCTCCCCCCTCTCACCTCGTACAGTGCCTCCACCTCCCCCCTCTCACCTCATACAGTGCCTCCACCTCCCTCCCTCACACCTCATACAGTGCCTCCCCCCTCACACCTCATACAGTGCCTCCACCTTCCCCCCCTCTCACCTCATACAGTGCCTCCACCTCCCTCCTCTCACCTCATACAGTGCCTCCACCTCCACTCTCTCACCTCATACAGTGCCTCCACCTCCCCCCCTCACACCTCATACAGTGCCTCCACCCCCCCCCCTCACACCTCATACAGTGCCTCCACCTCCCCCCCCTCACACCTCATACAGTGCCTCCACCTCCCCCCCTCACACCTCATACAGTGCCTCCACCTCCCCCCCTCACACCTCATACAGTGCCTCCACCTCCCCCCCCTCACACCTCATACAGTGCCTCCACCCCCCCCTCACACCTCATACAGTGCCTCCACCTCCCCCCCCCCTCACACCTCATACAGTGCCTCCACCCCCTCTCTCACCTCACAGTAGCCTGGTGTCCCTGGCCCATGCCCCTAGTGAGCCACGTCCCTCACTAGGTGTCCCTGGCTCCTCATCTACCAGGGATAGGGAACACCGTCCCCCTAGGGGCGTCAGCGACTTTTGTCAGTACATTTCCATCCCATTCTCGCTGCCTGTCTATTGTGTCGTGTTCTTCCTTCCCTGGTCATCTGTCGTGTCCTGCCGTTCCCCCTCTCATCTCCTGTCGTGTCGGGTCATTTCCTGTCGTATCCTGCCGTCTGTTGTCGTGTCCTGCCATCTGTTGTCGTGTCCTGCCATCTGTTGTCGTGTCCTGCCATCTGTTGTCGTGTCCTGCCATCTCTTGTCGTGTCCTGGCGTCTGTTGTCGTGTCCTGCCATCTGTTGTCGTATCCTGCCATCTGTTGTCGTGTCCTGCCATCTGTTGTCGTGTCCTGCCATCTGTTGTCGTGTCCTGGCGTCTGTTGTCGTGTCCTGCCGTCTGTTGTCGTGTCCTGCCGTCTGTTGTCGTGTCCTGGCGTCTGTTGTCGTGTCCTGCCGTCTGTTGTCGTGTCCTGCCATCTCTTGTTGTGTCCTGCCGTCTGTTGTCGTGTCCTGCCGTCTGTTGTCGTGTCCTGGCGTCTGTTGTCGTGTCCTGGCGTCTGTTGTCGTGTCCTGCCGTCTGTTGTCGTGTCCTGCCATCTCTTGTCGTGTCCTGCCATCTCTTGTCGTGTCCTTCCATCTCTTGTCTTGTCCAGCCATCTCCTGTGGTCCAGAATGCACCAATACTTTTAGACATTATCGTAATTTCAGCTATAAGTGTCCAGGGTTTAGGTCAGTATACCATCATCTGTGTACAAAAAAAAATACTTTAACAACATTTGGCAGACGAAGACGTTACTGTTGACCATTGTTGACAGTCAAGTTGAGAATGGTCCAGGACGGACCGAAACGTCGTCGTCCCTTCACTTTCTAGTGTGTGGTCTGGTTAACGTTACTGTGTGAGTGCCTCAACCCCCTCTCACATGCTTGGCTTAAGAACCTCGAACGTAACGTATTCGTCTGATCAAGGAGTTGGTGTTATTGGGACACATAGCGACTCGTTTTAACCACACACACACACACATACACATACACATACACATTCACACACACACACACACACACACACGCTCAGACCTTGACAGAAGCAGTCGGGTGTATGCGAAAGACTTGGTGTAAACTTGACAGCAAATTCTCAAATACATTAGTGTGGGTTTTTATCCTGATATTTTTTCTGTGAGAAGACATTGCTTAATAATAATATTTTAGTGTTCATATTGATTGTAGATAATGATAATCTTATATTTAATAGTTATTGATAATCGTCAGATGATTTTGTTACCAGGTTAAAAGGTTTTAAGTTGCTTTATATAGGATTGATTCAATCAGTGGCGTTTTAGATGGTAGCTCTTGATTACCTGTGTGTGTTCTGCTTGCTGTATGATTCTATAATTCACTTTAAAACTTTGTATGTTGTTCATATGGGAGGGCTGGACACTGCTGAGAGAGAGAGAGAGAGAGAGAGAGAGAGAGAGAGAGAGAGAGAGAGAGAGAGAGAGAGAGAGAGAGAGAGAGAGAGAGAGAGAGAGAGAAAGAGAGAGAAAGAGAGAGAGACCTGAATTTTCAGATTTCTTCACAATATATTTTTGATCATATATGCTGGCATAGTTGACTGGATGCACCTTGCCTGGATCACCTGCGTTTGAACCGTATACAGTTTATATATGTCTAAATTATTTCTTTATTACAAAGAATTTTTTTGGTACATGTTCGTATATTAATGGGTTATTTTTTATAATAATATCGTCTTTATTTTTTCTAAGGAATAAGCCAGCTGCCATATTGCGTCAATGACTCCTTCTTTATCACTTTCCAGTCTTGGTATAATTTTCACTTTTGTTCACAGATGGCGCGCTGGTGCGTCTCCTTCCTAAGGCACCCTCCCCCATTACCCCCTCTCCCCCTCCACTGACTCTGCATTAATATCCCCTTACACCGTCCGGGAACAGGTCATTCCCATTCCAATATTCCGACTCGGAGCTGGAATGGCTAGACGCTGTCAGCTCATTCGGAATAATGCGATACATAACGTGGATACTCGCGCCATTTTCATAAGACCTCGGACCGTGCTGGATATCTTCGCGCTGAGGGGAGGGCTTTTTTGGCGGGAATTCCGGCCAGTTTTGGCGGGAATTCTTGGCAGTTTTGGCGCAAATGTTAGTCGTTTTGGCGGGAATTATTGTCGGAGCAGCGGGAGACCCGACAGATGAGAATATGTATTTGTGTTTTGTCGCTGTTTATAGCGGGTGGGGATGTTGTTGTCGGGGAAGGATAGATATATGTATAAAAAGTGTCTTGTGGGAAGGTGGCGAGCCTCGCAACATGGAGGGATGGGTCGTAAATCCCACACATTCTCGGTACACCTTCCGCCTTATATCCTGCAATAACCTAACACCTATAGTGGTGGTGGTGGTGGCCGCTCTTTCCTCGACTTTCTGCGTCTTCCTTCTTTCTGCTTTGCTTCCTTGTCCTTGTCCTTGTCCTCTTCCTACTTGGGCTGCCACAAGGTGTTTGGTTGCTTCGGTAGCCTCAAGTACGTCGCCTCCTATTAATTGTGGACCCTTTCCCTCCTCTTGATGCTTTCTCCTTTCTCTTTGTAGTCATCCTACTCTCTTCTTCCTTCCCTGTCTCTCTATTCCCCACCCTTTTCTACTTTCTTCCTATCTGCTTCCCTTCCTCCTTTTCTCGTTCTCTTCGTATTTCATTTTCTTCCCACTGTCCTTCTGTCACTCTCCGCTCTCTCTCTCTCTCTCTCTCTCTCTCTCTCTCTCTCTCTCTCTCTCTCTCTCTCTCTCTCTCTCTCTCTCTCTCTCTCTCTCTCTCTCTCTCTCTCTCTCTCTCTCTCTCTCTCTCTCTCTCTCTCTCTCTCTCTCTCTCTCTCTCTCTCTCTCTCTCTCTCTCTCTCTCTCTCTCTCTCTCTCTCTCTCTCTCTCTCCCTCTCCCTCTCTCCCTCTCTCCCTTTCTCTCTCTACGAAAAAAAGTACATCAGTAGTAGCAGAATTACTGGAAGTAGTCGTAGTAATATAAGAAATATTGGCAGTACTCGTCGTCGTACAACTGTAACGACGGCTGTATATGTGGCTTTGTTCTTCACTGACAGTTCGGGGATCCCGGGGTTCGATTCTCGGGCGGGACAGAAATGGTTGGGCACGTTTCCTTTCTCCTAATGCACCTGTTCATCTAACAATAAACAGGTACCCCGAGAGTTAGGCAACTGTTGTGGGGGTTGGGATGCATCTTGGGAAGGGTCGATATTCCGACGTTGAAGGCCCTCGATATAAACCTTAAGAATATATATATATGCACATATATATATGCACAGGCTTCTTGTCCCGGACACAACGATTTCTATATAAATTCCGGTGGGGGGTCATTGTCTGGAGTGTGCCCCCCCACTCCCCTCCCCCTTTCAAGTCCAATTTAGAGTTAAGGAGGTTGTTGAAATCTTTCGTTCACATCAATTGCCAATTAATTTGATAACTCGAGTGTCTTGAATTATGTCTTAAAAAAGTGTCAGTTATTAGAATATAAATCCAAGTTGCTGAAGTGTAATGGAAGAGTTGAAGTCCAGTTCAATTATAGGAAAGGCTGAACCACTTGGGCTGGACGTTAGAGCGAGGGTCTCGCTTTCTGCAGGTCGGCGTTCAATCCCCCGACCGTCCACAAGTAGTTGGGCACCATTCCTTTTCCCCCTCCGTCCCATCCCAAATCCTTATCCTGACCCCTTCCAAGTGCTATATAGTCGTAATGGCTTGGTGCTTTTCCCCTGATAACTCCCTCCCTTCCTCCAGCTGAGTTGAGTATAATCCTTAAGTGTTGCAGTTATCCTTAAGTGTTGCAGTTATCCTTAAGTGTTGCAATATTGCAATACTGACATTTCCTGTGTATTCCGGTTAATTAAGTTATCGATTGTTGCAATTCACGTACTTTTAATTTCGATTTCTCCCAGTTATTAGGAGATTGTATGCTGATATGGTTACTGATTGTTCAGTTGGTACAGTTCTTGTACATATCCAACTGGATTCGATTTATGAGTGTTTTAGTCGTCCAGTTACTGCATATTTCTGCTGGTACAGTTGTTGACTGTTTTAGTTCAGCCAGTTACGAATGTCTTCCATTTGACCTACTTTTTAATTGCTTCCTTTGAGCCTGTTACTATGTAAGGTTCCAAACAATCTCAATTAATTACTACCAATTTCCAGTTGTTTCATGCATTATATATATATATATATATTCACCTGAACCAGTTCGTAAACTCGTATGTTGAAAATGTCTCGTTTCTGAATAACGTTTTTGATTACACTTAAATATTTAGTTTTTTTTTAATATGGTAAATAATATTGGCCCTTCTTACGACACAACAGTATCTCCATCATGATAATATAGAAATTGAAATTGAAGCTGCTGAAGAATTGTCATAAAAATATATATAAAAAACAATTCTTTCATCCGTCAAAGAAGGTCCAATTCTTATGGTCGAGAAGGTATATGTGCGCGCCTTCCAGCACCTTCCAGCGCCTTCCAACACCTTCCAGCGCCTTCCAAAGTCTTCTAGCACCTCCCAGCTCTTTCCAGCACCTTCCTACGCCTTCCAGCACCTTCCAGCACCTTCCTACGCCTTCCAGCACCTTCCAGTGCTTTCCAGCACCTTCCTACGCCTTCCAGCACCTTCCAGCACCTTCCAGAACCTTCCAGTACCTTTCAGCACCTTCCAGCACCTTCCCGCGCTTTCCAGCACCTTTCAGCACCTTCCAGCACCTTTCAGCACCTTCCAGACCCTTTCAGCACCTTCCAGCGCCTTCCAGCTGAGTCTGCGGCCGCTGTCGAAGGGGCGTCCAGTTTCCAGGAGACTGGAGGGCATGTCACGGCTCACCCGGCACCAGACACCTCGCCTCGCGGGGGATATTGTCACCTGAATAAGAACGCCAAGGGCGGGAAAAGTCGAGCCCTTGTTGATGGCCAGTCGAGCCCATGTAGGAATTTGCGGTCGCTGCAGGCTTGTCCTGGAATCTGGAATATCTCCTGTTTCGTCGCGGAATTGGTTCCCGCGTCGCCTTTGTTTTTTTTTTAAATGTGTAATCCATTTAGTTTTTTCTGTTATGTGTGCCTTTGATACTTATTTGATATCGTTTTTGTCCTGGAATTTAATATTTTAATTTGTTGAATTTGAATTGTTCCAGTTTCGCTCTGGAGTCTGAAATGGTCCGGGTTTATACTTTATTTTGTTTTTAATTTTATATCCAAATTACTCTAATTATTTTTACTAGTTTTATTATGGCTGTTTTGCTGTTGATCCGTTTTTTGTTTGCATCATTATTGGAATGATTTAGACTGTCATTATTTATATTGCATTAATGGTATTATTTGCGTATTACCATTATTATATGTGTTGGTGATAATTGTGTTTAATACCGGTAATTCCGATATCAATAATTATTGGTTTTATTGCATTTGCCGATATTAATATTATTGGTATTTTCTATTCGTGGTATGATTTGTATTACTATAATTTATATTATTATGATTAGCATCACTATAATTGATTAGTCAATATCAGTATTATTACTATTTGTATTATAATTACGCGGCGTGAATATGTATAACATTCGAACACTTATTTTACACACATTTACACAAATGTGTGTTTTTCAGTGTGGCGTAAACATCGATGTTGTAGAAATGTCTCTCGTTGTTAAACAAAAAATGAAATTGTAAATGAATTTACAATATGACTCCCATTTTATCTTGCGTCTCTTGTGTGTTTTTAAACTTAAGCATCAGTGTCACCAAAGTGTCGCAAGGAGGCCTGGAACCTTCACAGACAAACAAAACACTCACAGACTGTCTGTAAGGAGGCTTTACAAACTATCACGAGAATTACACAAGAAAGTTGAGGGGCATTCACAGAGCAACTGAGCCTTGGAGGTCTCCTTGCCTCACAGACTTAACAGGTTGAAATGTCTAAAAATGTCAATTTGGGGACATTCACAGACTTAACAGCGGCATTTACTGTCCAGATGAGACTTCTACAGGTAAGGTGGGACTTACCAGGTAAGGTGGGACTTAGAGGTAAAGTGGGACTTACCTGTAGAAGAAAGACTAGTGACTTCAAAAGGAAAGACTAGAAAGACTTCACAGACTAGCTGAAACGTGTAATAGAATTACTGGAATTTGAAGAAGTCAGCTGGAAAGTGCTGTCCAGTCTCTTCAAGTGGCCTAGTCTACACAGTGCAGCGGTAGCCTACGATTCCTTCATTCTACCTCTTGGACTGGACGGTAGAGGGACGGTCTCGCTTCATGCAGGTCGGCGTTCAATCCCCGACCGTCTAAGTGGTTGGACACCATTCCTTCCCCATCCCCTTCTCCCCGTCCCATCCTAAATCCTTGTGTTCTATATCCCTTCGAAGTGGTATATAGTCGTGATAGCTTGACCCCTTTCTCTTTGTAATTATCTTACCGCTACCTCTTCTTTTGAATCTATATTTACTTTATACATTATTGTACACTTGCCTTTCATTGTTTTCTCTAATTAGTTTACTATCCACTTTAATGTTACTCAGATCGTTCTTCTCTCTCTCTCTCTCTCTCTCTCTCTCTCTCTCTCTCTCTCTCTCTCTCTCTCTCTCTCTCTCTCTCTCTCTCTCTCTCTCTCTCTCTCTCTCTCCCCCCTTCCTACTGTACCGTACCCCCCTCATTCATTCTACCACCCTTACATTCATTTAACAACCCCTTATTCATTCTACCACCTCATTCATTCTAGTCTCCCCTTCATTCTCCTTCACTTTCAACCCTCCTTTCTAACAGGTCCCCATTACGTTCTTCATGTCCCTTGGCCTCTTCTACTTTATTCATCCCTCTCAGGTCATATGACGTGATATGGCACCCCTTTTGTACCTCGTGGCACCCCTTTTGTACCTCGTGGCACCCCTTTTGTACCTCGTGGCACCCCTTTTGTACCTCGTGGCACCCCTTTTGTACCTCGTGGCACCCCTTTTGTACCTCGTGGCACCCCTTTTGTACCTCGTGGCACCCCTTTTGTACCTCGTGGCACCCCTTTTGTACCTCGTGGCACCCCTTTTGTACCTCGTGGCACCCCTTTTGTACCTCGTGGCACCCCTTTTGTACCTCGTGGCACCCCTTTTGTACCTCGTGGCACCCCTTTTGTATCTCGTGGCACCCCTTTTGTACCTCGTGGCACCCCTTTTGTACCTCGTGGCACCCCTTTTGTAGGTCATGACACCTGTTAAAGCCCCTGACATCCCTTTTACACTGTACAAGAGTGACACACCCTGGCACTTCTCACACTCCCACACCATGAAAAAAACCCTCATATCCCTCCCCTCACACTTCTACACCCTGACCCCCCCCCTCATACCCTCACACCCATCACACCCCCCCATCCTGGCACCCCCTCCCATACTACCAACTCTCCCTCAACTCCAAAACCCCATTCCCCCCCCCCCCGCTGCCTCCCTCATACACCCCCCCCTTACACTCCCCCCACACCCTCCTTCCCACGAGTGGGTGTTGAGGGGACACCGAACTCGGGTCTTGTCTTTGCCCGTCCAGGCATTCTCTCCTCGCCTTGTTACCCCCTCCGGATCACCGGCCTGGGGGGGTGTTAGGGGCGGTGAGGGGAAGCGAGAAGACGAGAAGGGGGTGATAACCTGGAAGGAGGAAGATATCAAGTACTTACCGAGTTGTGGTTGCGGGGGGGGGGTTGAGCTTTGGCTCTTTGGTTCCGCCTCTCAACATCCCAATCAGCTGGCGACACAAAGTTTTTGATTGGAAGGAAGTGATCAGGAAAATAGTGAAGGGACAGCAGGGGGGGGCGGTATATAAGGGTGAGAGGCAGCTTTAGAACGAACATATAACTATACACTTATGCTCAAACTAGTCCTTCCGCATCCTGAATTACCCTCCAGAACCACAACGTGCCACTAAGGTATGACTTTGACCTTAAAGAAACCTTAACAACTCAGAAACTAAGGCAGTACAAATTAAGGCGCCAATAAACCATTCCCAGATAAAGTACAGGCCAGACACAACAACCTTCCTATTCAGAAAAGCAGACCCTTAAACAGAAGCATCAAAACACGTCACTGACTGTCTTATCTCTGTCACATCCTTTGCATTATTTTCTTTGCCACGTCCTCCGAATCGTTGTTTGCCAGATATACCTTTTGGTTGCCATCCATCCCTCTATTTGACAATGCGTCATTGGGTGGCACTCCGCCGGGAGGCTTTGGGCACCTCCCTGGAGCGGCATTGGATCATGATCCAAACTTTGTTGGCGTCGCCAAAGGTTTAGGGGAGTGCCACCATATTTGTCTTCGTACCTGCAAACTTCTCGCACGCTCACCTGTCCGGACTGGGGGTGCTGTGGCACCGGTTGTGGCTCCAATTGTGTCTCAGTTGCTCCTCTGGTTGTGACTGGTTGTGGTTCCAGGTGTGGGTCGCTCCTGCTTTAATGACTTTTCTGTCTATAAAGGTTATAGGTCTTTCTTGCCTTCATACAACAATTAGTAATGGTTCCAGGAATGATTACTATTTGATTCAACTCCTCACATCATTCCAGGAAAAGTAGATCCTCCTGGAATGATCTTTTTGACATTCCAGGAAGACTTTATCCTCCTGGAATGATCTTTTTGTCATTCAAGGAAGACTTTATCCTCCTGGAATGATGTCTTTGTCATTCCAGAAAGACTTTATCCTCCTGGAATGATCTCTTTGTCATTCAAGGAAGACTTTATCCTCCTGGAATGATCTTATTGTCATTCCAGGAAGACTTTATCCTCCTGGAATGATCTATTTGTCATTCCAGAAAGGCTTTATTCTCCTGGATCTCTGTCATTCCAGAAAGAATTTATTCTCGTGGAATTATCAGATGTTAGCAATTTGTTATTTGTTAGGTAATTTACTTAACATGCACAGAAGACTCAGTTCAGGAATATTACTCTTCTAAAACACGACGGAACAACTGGCTAATAGTACTGAATAAGAATCGCCATTAGGGAATTCCTAAGAGACAAAACAAACTGATCTTAAACATGTTAAAAAATCCAATTTATTTTTGTAATTACAGTGATAACACTCTCAAGGGCTTTAATTCCTCTGGAAATATATTGCATCCAAGGTTCCACTAACATTTAGTTGTATCTTTTCCTCACGTAAAGAAGGTTCAGTAGATCCAAGCATGCGTTCTTTGGTTTCTCAAGGGCTCCTGAGATTTGTAAGCTCTATAAGATAAATATTGATGCCATTCTAGGTTCTTTGAGGTCTGGAAGTGATGGTGGTATACGAAGACGTGGTGGCTGATGGTGGTAGAGAGTGAGAAGTTACGGCCAGCTCTCCTCTGGTTCATCAGAGCCAGACAAAGGCGGTTGCCGCCAATTTTACATTCTGGAAGTGGCTGCCTTTAGACGGGTGTCGCGGGCCAGGGGTGCGACCGGTCGCTGGCCTCCACAAGAGCCTCGCCTCGAGCTGTTCCAGCCTCAAAATTTCCTCTGACATCTTTTTCTTTTCCCTGATTTTTGGATTTCTAAAGCAACCGTCTGATTTTTCCAATATTACGTCCTTAACTCGCCTCTGAAGATGAGTGGGAAGTCCAAGTCGAGACCCCCTTAATGTCTAGCAGGGAACCGAACACGTTCCAGAATTTCCAGGCGAGCAGTTCATTCGCGGTTGGAACAAAGGGCACCATCTTCCAGCGACGGCTTCCAGTCTTAATTAATGGCCGCTTGATTATGATGTGGAACCATTAAAATACTCACCATTTTGGGGGAAAATGTCAAATAGAACCGGGAAAAGGCGCTTGTGGAAGAGACTTTTAGTTGGGAAGGAAGAGCCTCAGACGCTTCGCGTTATCTTGCAAGATGAGATATCGACTACCAAGCCGGGGTAAAAATATTATATA